CTTCTTTTCCTGTTAATGGCCAACATGTAGAGCTCTTGCACCTTTTTTACACTATGTTTTGCCTTGCTGGGCCTCTGTACTTCTCTTCTTCTCTTTTGGACCTTCCACTCCTTCTGAAGGAAAAACGCCTTCTTTTGTTCATCTGTTGTACTCTGTTTGCTGGTGACTCCAGAGCCCCAAAACACACGTCTCCTTCGCTCTCCTCCCCACACCTGTGTCAAGGTTGCAGCTTTATTGGCACCTCTGCCGTGCTGACGCTGGGGAGAAGGTTCAGGTGGGAGGGAAAGAAGGTAGCACCAGTGCCTGTAATGTTGTTCAAGCAGCCTGCTCTTCCACAATGGCTTAACCACGACACCAAACTGGCTTCTAAAGTTCTATCATTAGCCCAAGTGAAATGGCCTCCTGAATCAGCAGATGTTCAGGGGGATGGCCCGCCGAGCTGGTGAAAGACAGAAAGCCGCACACAGCAAATGTGTTCCCATCCGATGGAAGGGAAGGGAAAATCAAACTCAGCTGCCAATCTGGATTTATTCCACTCCCCTGGAGCAAGGAATGAAGATTACCAGAAACCCCAAGAGTTGTAGGCAAGAGAAGAAGGAAAGAACCAACCGCTTTCATAATGGCTGCCAAGAAAACTACACAGATACATCCATGTAGTCACTAGGAGGCAAGCTTAACTGGCAAGCTTAACTTTCCTTCTTTATCTTCTTTTTACCTGGAGCGGTGATTATTACCCATTGCAAACACGAATCTTTTGCTTTCGGAAAAAGAATGTTCCATTAAACCATATAGCAAACACATCTTCTCACTGGTGTTATATGTGAAATGACTTTCCTTGGCAGAATATGTGTATCCCTACAAATACAAGTATGTTGAGTCTTGTGCACAGCTGAAGGGAGCTAAGTTTATAACGATTAAGTCAAATCTCCCAGGGATCTTTCAGTGCTCCAAATGATTAGCCAGCAAAAAATCAATCAATCAATCAATCAATCAATCAATCAATCTGTGAAGGATGTGTAAGAATGCAGATCTCTAGTAGTGTTTCAGTAGCCTACTAGATACACATCTATTCTGTGTGATGTAGACCAAGCATGCACAATTGCTAACAATTGCTAACTTTTAACAGTGCAACTCCAGAAGAAAAAATATCTTGGACCCCATAATAATCACTGTTTTGCAACCTTTCTGCTCATCCCAAGTTGTAGCAAAATGTAAACCAAGCATCCAAGTTACCCAAGGAGATTAATCCCAAAGCTTAATTGGAAACCGCATGCAGTCGGAATCATTCCTTCCAATTTATTTATAATGAAGAAGACTCGCCGATCATTGCCATCAGTCAATTCCACCACTGACTTAAAATGAATTCTCTAATATTATGTGAAATTTCAAGCTAAAGTTCCTCAGAACGGACGTCTTGCTAAATAAAATAGATGCAATTGGACTGTCCATATTTCCTTCTGGATAATTCCAAGCCATAAAGCTGGAGTTAGGTTTATTTATAGAGCTGCAACATGCATGGGGCTTCACAAAACAGTAGGGACAGGCCCCCTATGCAGTGGGTTTATAAAATATTTAAACTATCCATAAATAATGTTTAAACCCATTTGCAACATAGAATATTTAAACTTTTTATAAATAATTTCAATCCAATGACATCATAGCTGACCCAGAGCTGGTTTTAAAAAAATAACGGGGTTGTTTTCCTTTTTCCTCCTCCTTAAGACAATAATCTACTGAATCAGATCTATGCACAGATAGGGAATTTATACGCTGAGTTACAAGGGCCGGGCGATCAAACCACAGCTCTTATGAAATGTCAGGAAATGGCTTAAGGATCCTTCCTCCACTGGTGTGCAGGAGTTGAAAAGATCTCTGGTGGGGGAAGAAACCTGGGGGGGTCCAGCTCTTTTGAAAAGCCCAATGAGGAATGAACATAAAATATCAAGTGCCCATGGAAGAGAAAGTCAAAGAAAGGTTGCCTGGCTTCAATTCTCGCTCACGGTGTTTTCTTGCCTTTGTAGTTTTACTGGCATACTGTATATTAAAAAGTGCAATTGAGCTGTGGTGTGTTCAGAAGCATCAGGCACTTGAGAGAGAAGTTCTAAAGATCAGACTCCAATTCTTCACTCCAATCCATAAGAAACTGGTGATGAGTTGTTGGATCTGAGAACCAGAGAGTCTCAGAGACATAATTCCAGGTTGTTCATTGTTTCCTGCATGGCCACCTTGCATCCCTCACTGTGTTTCCAGACCCCAACCAGCCTTGTGGCCTTCACTATTCCAGGTACCACCAATGGCTGACCTTTGCCAGAATTTGGGCCGAAGTATCCAGCTGAAAAGAATATCCAGCACAAATCACAGTGGAGCATGGATCCAAGCACAAGGGGCAAAACAGAAACATTACTCCAGCTACCTGGTTGAAAGGGCAAACATTCCTGACATAATTCAGATTCAGAAAGTGAAGCAAAGGAGCCACAAATATCTCTCAAAACAGCAACGCTGACTCTCCTTGGAGGAGGACCTGGGACATCTAATAAAAGGTATGCCATTCATACCCTCACCCAGATGACATCCCATAAGACAGTGGGCAATGAACATCTTAAGGAGATAGGCAAAAAATATGTCCACCAGAAAGCAAACCCACTACTGGTGCTTACCTGTTCCAAAATGATGTTTATTCTTTCCACTTCACAATCTATCAAGTATTTTTTCTCTTGCCGTTTGTCCATTTCTTCAATGATTGCTTTAAACTCCTGAACATCTTTGATGCTTCCCACGGATCGGGCAGTCACTTGCCAATTATTTTGCACAGCAGCTTCCATAATTGCTTGGAGGATGGAAAAACCTAGGGCAAAAGAAAAAAAGAGGGTGGGAGGAGTTAAAAAAAAATGAAAACTCGGTTTTTGTCTTTTTGTTTTAAAGAAACCCTTACTCAGAACAGAGATCACCAGGAGATCAGGCACC